CATTGCCTTCCCTCCCTTGGCCATAGGCTGCCCCTTTCCCCTTCCCTTGGTTACCTCTCACGAATATTGGGATGGAAGATAGTTAAGGGGGCTGGTGTATTGATACAAATCTATGGCTGTTACTGCAGAAGCAATTTAGAGTATCTATCCTGACAGGTCACTAGTGACATGAATAGTTTACTAGCATTCCTTCCCTTGACCTCCCTCTATAGAATAATCTTAACTTCAAGCCCGAACAGTAGCATACACTGACTGATAAGAATTTCTCTGAAAAGAGCTTAACGTTTCTTTTAGAAAAGGAACTAGAGATCTTAGCTAGAATAATGGTAACAGTTTGAAAGTGTGCACCAACTGTCCTCATGGTTTGGGGCAACTTCAGAAGGACTGTCAGTCTGCTTTAAACCAAGGTCCTATAATTACTGAATTTTGTGCATTTGGCCCAAGATTAGGAAGCACTGTGGTAGGGGCATTGTCTACTGCCCCTTCTTTTTTTTTTTTATATGGGGGATCAAACTCAGGACCTTGCAGTTTCAAGGCAGGCCCAGTGCCACTGAACTACATCCCTGACCCCGCCCAATATTAACCTGGCGCCAAGTCGAAGGTACAGCTCCTGCATGGATCTGTGTTCTACCTTTCATCTGCTTAGATGAAACCTGGGCTTTTTATTTCGTATTTTAAGCTTCTCTTTCTGTTTGTTTGTTTATTTATTTTTTGGTACCAGGGATCGAACTCGGGTCCTTGCACTGGCGCAGCAGGCGGAGAAACCACTGAGCTAAATCCCCAGCCTTCTTTCTGTATTTTTAAATGAAGATAATAATCGACCTCCTGTGGTACAATTGTGAGCAGTTAAATGAGATGAGGCAAATAAAGTGATCAATCAGTAGATGGTACCTAGAACAAATGAACAAGATCGCTTGCTCCTTTAGTTGCTGTTCTCTTTCCCCTTCTAACTTGAAACCTTTATTTAGAAGTAACTTTGTCGGGATAATCTGTACTTAAGAACAACTACCAAGAAAAGAAAAAGAAAAGCCTTGGTTTGCACTTAAGACAGTTTGATAGGAATTTTCCTGTAGCCAGAGTTGGCAGGGTTAATGTTCGCCGGCTGAGAAGCCATGCTGTTACCTTCTGGCGGCTCCTATGCAGGTGCCGCTGTATTAATTACCAAAGAAAGCCTGATTAACTCAGAAGTCCTTTGACTGTCAGTGAGGCAGCTGCTCCAGGTCTAAAACAGGTTTCCTTCCTCCCTCCTACTGCCCGTCTACAGCTTTTAATCTCTTCTTTGGAGACTGCTAAGACTGCACTGTAGGTCCCCAGAGCCCCTGGCTAGTTCAGTCAGCTTTTTGATCTGTAGCTGCCATAATCCAGGGTGAGCTTGCATAATTAAATTCACATATACTTTCAAGTAAAGTAAAAACCAGACCAACCTGCCATCTCCCTTACATCCTTATTCTTTCAACAGTTAAAACGGACAGTGACCTAGAATTTAAGGGCTGAAAAGAATGCCAAATATGCACTAATCTAACTCTCTCAGTTTACAGATGAACAGTTCAAGGCCCAGAAAGAGCAAGTGGACTGCCAAGATCGCAGAGCTAGTCAGTGGCGAAGCCCAGGGTCAGAAAACCTGCCCTCGCTCTAGTGGCGTTCCCACTTCCATGTTGCACGCCTCATCACTGAGCCAGCTTTGTGCCCAGAGGAGCAAGCTGGAAAACCATCTTCTTTCAGCTCATTTCTATCTGTCTCCTAGTTCAAATCTTATAGACATTTTGGAGATTGATGAAAAAGCAAATGATTTGTGGGAGAAACAAAAGGCTTGGATGTGATGCATGGAAAAATAAGTAGCGCACAGTGGCACAGGCCTGGAATCCCAGCTACTTCGGAGGCTGACACAGGAAGATCACAGGAAGTTCAAGGCCAGCCCCGGCAACTTAGCAAGACCCTGCCTCAAAAATAACAAATAAATCAATAAAAGACTGGGGATGTATCTCAGTGTGAAGGCCTTGGGTTTAATCTCCAGTACCACCACACACACACACACACACACACACACAAAGATGGGATGTAGCCCAGTGCCAGAGCACTTGCCTAGCATCTGCAAGGCTCTGGGTTCAACCCCCAGCACCAAGAAACGAAGCACACCAGAGACAGCTAGCAATGTCCACCTTGAGGAAGGACCTCTCTTCAGGGCAGTAGCTACAGGAGGAGCCCTTGCAGAGTGCTTGGAAACAGAGAACCTGGCTCAACGTCAGCACCCTTTCCTACTGGACTGGTCTTTGATTGTTCTGACAGTAGCAGGCTTATTTGCAGTGACTGTTTTTGCAGGAGAGATGGGGCAGGGGTGGTAGTAATTTGGGTCAGATGAATAATGGGGTGTGTCTGCTATAGTTTGGGCTGATACAGCATGTTTTATTGGCTTTCCTGTAGCTGAAACTTAGTCTCAGGGGTTTGACCTCTCCTTCTGGTCCTAAAGAGTGGTACAGTTGCTTTTCTTCCCTGTTATCCACACTAGTATAGTAGCAGTAACAAAGCTCACTTTGCTTTGTTGCTTTTTTATTATGATCAACATGCACTACAGGAATGTGAAGGTTGTTAGTGGGAATTGAGAATCTGGGGGGACTGGGAGAAGGAAAGCTAGGGAGAGTAGATGAAGTCTGGCCAGACTTCTCCCTGCCCCAGCTGAGAGGAGGTGGTTGTATTCTACAAGGTGAATGGAAGAAATCCTGCTCTTTGTCCACATCTTCTCTCCACGTTGAGCTCGCTCCCCTTAAACTGTTCATCGTGATAGTGTGCTTTTCGGAATACTTTGTGGACTCAATTGTGGGTTTTTGTGGACCATTTTCCATCTTAAATAGGTTCTTACACTTAACAGACAGATGTATAACTTTAAGCACGTACTATGTGTCGGTCGTGTTGGGTGTTAAGGATACAGAGAGCAGTAGGATGGTTCTTCGTGCTTTTAATGATTATAGACAGATTATAAAACAGAATAAGCTGTAATAAATCTATAATTGTGAACAAGGTACAAAGGGACTCAGGATTAACCCATTGCTGCATGTTAAGTGGTCACACAGACAACTATGCATCTGTGGTTTTAAATGGCAGGCTATAGATTAGACCAGTAACCTGGTGTTTTACTCTTTCGTTTTTGGTGGTGGTGGTGAGGTGTACTGGGGATTGAACCCAAGGGCTCCACACTGAGCTGCATCCCCAGCCCTTTAGTTTTTGTTTTCAGGTGGGGGTGTTGCTAAATTGCTAAGTTTCCCAGGCTGGCCTCAATCTTGTGATCCTCCTGCCTCAGCCTCCCAGAGTGCTGGGATTACAGACATTTACCACCACACCCGGTTTGGTGATTTACTTTTGTATTTAGTAGAGAGAGAATTAGGCACTCAGTGAATACTCTAGATTCACCTTTTCAAAGGAGACTCTTTCCCACGAGATTCCCTTGGTTCAGTGTCTGGTATTGCTAATGTATGTGTGCGGGCCAGAGTGATGCACTTGAAGGTGGACATGAAAGCAATGGAGAGAAGAGCCTGGGGAAACACAGAGCTCTTCAAACCCTTTTGGTGGTGCCATTTGTGAAAGAAAAGGATTTGAGATAGTAGCAGGTACATTCTGAAGTAGAGCCACCTTTTCTTGAATAGGGCCTCTTGTGTCAATTACATGGGCTGAACAGTCAGCGTACAAGTGGTTTATTGTGGTTTGTGGCGTAGTGACTAAAGCAAATACTCCTTCAGTTAGTGGTACCACCCAAGACTTCAATTGTGCTGTAGTGTTGACTGAACACTACAGATTGGCCTTTCTGAATCTTAGATGTAGGCGACTGGTGCTGAAGGAGTGGGAAAGGATTGAATTGAAACCCTGCAAATCTCAGGGCACTGATTTCTAATTCTTTTCCCCACTCGGAGATTAGCATATTTTAGGAAGCTTTTTGTTCTCTCTCCAGTGCTGTTTAAATCTGTTTGGGGAAGCTAGTCAGTTAGGTTAGTGGCGGTTGTCTTGAAAGGAAAATGTTTTTGAGATGGATCATGTCTTTTTCTAGATTTCCCTGGATTTTATCCCAGCAGGAGTTAAAGGCCCTTTGTCTTACTCTGGGTCTTGTCATCCATAAGTGGAAGGAATGTGACTTGCTTAGAAGTATCGATCCTAATTGAGCACCCCATGATTTAAGGAAGCAGACGGCTCAGCAGCTGAGATGCTGTCAGCAGCTATCAGAGAGATGAACTGAAAATACTCTGGAGCTCGTGCAGTCTTGCGGAGCTTTTCATTTCAGTGTACGTAAGTATGTACAGATCAGCTCAGGCATCTAGTTACACAGTGTGCCGTTAAGTGAGAAGCATAAGCCAAAATCGTGTGTGGTAGAGACATGGAAAGGGGCCGTGAATGTTCAAGGGCTAGGTCTTCTGTCAGAAGGGAGGTTTTACTCTTGACACATTCAGGTGCGGTTTTTCTTTGGACTCCTGTCCTGGGTACTGTCATTTTAATGCTCTTGTGTTTGTTTTTTGTTTTTGTTTTTTTTGGTACCAGGGATTGAACTCGGGTCCTTGCACTTGTGAGACAGGTGTCGGAACCACTGAGCTAAATCCCCGGCCCTGCTCTTGTGTTTGTGACGGGGTCCTTGTAACTCCTTCGGTCATCTCTGGTGGATCAGAAAGGAGAGGATGGGGAGGGAAGATCCCACTGCCACCTTTCTGGGAAGAAGTAACTTCTTGTTCCTTGGGGACAGCTGGAGAGAGCAGCTAGTTTGATATTTGAAGAACATTTTCTGACTGGGATGTTTTCCTAATATCTCCTTTAACTGAGGATTTCCTGGAAATGTTTCCCCTAGGACAGTGATGGCGAGACTTTTAGAGCTTTCAATGACAAACATCCCGCCGTGTGCCATAGGTTCGCCACCACTGCTCTAGGATCCTGAATCCTAATGGATTCTCTGTGTGAGTCTCTCTAATTCCTCCCCACTCTTCTCTCTTTCCTCCTTTTCCCCACTCCCCCCCTTCTCCAACCAGGCCAGCTGAGCTGCATTTCCTTCCCACCTAAGGAGGAGAAGCACCTCCAGCAGACTGTGGACTGCCTCCCCTGCATACTCATCCTTGGTCAGGATTGCAATGCCAAGTGCCAGCTGTTGAACCTGCTGTTGGGGGTGCAGATGCTTCCTACCACCAGGCTGAGCAGCGAAGACAGCTGCAAGCTGCGGCGACTCCGCTTCACCTATGGGACTCAGACTCGGGTCAGCCTGGCGCTCCCTGGACAGTACGAACTAGTACACACGCTGGCTGCTCACCAGGGCACCTGGGAGACCATCCCTGAGGAGGACTTGGAGGTCCAAGGGGACAGTAAGGACGCTGCTCATGTTTTAGCCGAACTGGAGGTGACAGTGCATCATCCCCTCTTGAAGGTACCGACCTCATACTCATATCAGTTGTGCACATGTGCCAGCTTTGCTTTTCACTTTGAAAAAGTAGTTTGATGATGTTTACTCTGAACTCTAGCAGCAGCTTCTGGAGTCAGAGGAACATATCCCAGAAAGTTGAAAAGAGACAATATCCCTGCCTCTGCTTCCATGCTTCAAGGCCCTGAGTATTTTGCTTATTTCCTCGCCTCTTAGTCTCCTGTTCTGATAGAAAAAGAATATGTAGCAACTACATCTTTTTTTTTTTTTTTTTTTTTTTGGTACTGGGGATCAAACTCGGGTCTTTGCACTTGCGTAGCAGGCAGCGAAACCACTGAGCTAAATCCCCGGCCCTGTAGCAACTACATCTTAACAAGCTTTTACAGAATAGTTGTAAGATGTTGCTGGAATTGTCTCTAGTCATCCCTTTGTAAAAGGACAAGAAAATGATGGATAATTAATGTTCTTATTAGAATTGAGATCAAGTGAAAATTTGTGTGGCTTTGCCTTAGATCCACCCATGAGCTTACTGAGCTGGACAGTGTGAGGGGCCATGTGTGGTCCGGTCATCTTGGCTTCTCTCTTGAAGTAAACTGCCAAAGAGCGCGCAGGAGCTGCAGCATCTCCTAGGAGATCACACTGTCCATCTCAGGTTCTGCCTCCACCTAAGATAAGTCCTGTGTCTTCTGGGCTTCCTTTGCTACTGGATAGCTTTAGGCCACCTGACTAGACCGAATGCAGATGCACAAAGGTCAGGAACAGGAAGGAGTAAGTGTGTGGTCGCGCTCAGAATGGGACGTTCATCACCTCGGGCAGCTGTGCCAGGGAGGATGGGCTGGTTTGGCAGTGCTGAGAGGGTGTTTCTTCTTCCCTATCACCTCTATGTCTGCCCCTCTTCTAGGAGAGTTGGTTTCTCAGGCAGTGAATGGCCTTTGGTTGTGGCATGGCCCATGAGACTCTAGAAGGAGAAACTGCCTTCTCATTTCCTTTCACAGTCCTTATTTCTTTCATCTTGACATGCTAGAGGGGGCTGTGCAGCAAGCCCCCGTTTTCTCAGCTGAGTTGTAGGGGTGGTTTCCTCTGTGTTCAGGCTGAGGGCTTACACTTTGGGAAACTCTGGTGCTAGCCCTTGTTTATTGCTGAGGCCTGGTCACTTGAGCCATGAGCTCCCTCACAGTGTGTCACTATTTGATTCATACACAATTTCTCTCTGCTGTACTGCTGCACTCTAGTTCCTTCAAGGTTCCACTTGCTCAGTTTTCAGAACTTTTTAGATTTTAATTCACTGCCATTTGCCACAACATGGATTGACCTGGAGAATTTTATGTTAAGTGAAACTATGCAGATAAAGGAAGAAAAGTACTAAAAATACTATATGGTTTCACTTATATGTGGGGTCTTAAAAAAAGAATGAAAACAGTGGTTTCAGGAGCCAGGGAAGAGGGTGGAGGTTGAGAGGAACAAATGGGGAGATGTAGGTTAAAGGATACAAAGTAGCAGGTATTTAGGATGTAACAAACCTAGAGATATAAAGTTCAAGATGAGGACTATAGTAAATCAAATTGTGAATAAAATCGTATTAGGGAGTTTTGTTAAACGACTAGATTTTAGCTGCTCTTATCACAGAAAAACTGAGATGACAGATGTGTTGATTAGTTTCACTATAGTGACCATTTTGTTATCTGTATGTATCCCATCACATCCTGTAAACTGAAAATATACACAATAAAATTTCCTTAAAAAAGTAAAAAAGAAAAACATTATGTACCTACTACATACATGTGCATATATGTCTGTAATAAGTTTCACGAAGCAATACTTTTATTTCCTACAATGCACACTGATATTTTATTTTCTTTTTCACTTAATTTTTTAAAAAATGATGGCAAAAAAAAAAATGATGGCAGCAATCCACTAAATTGATGCTATGAGCTGATCACTGTGACCTGCTGCTGAAAGAGCACTGTTAAATAGCTGAAATATCTGCTGTAAGCTGGGTGGTGATTTTTCCCGTTCTTGCCTTCCGATCTTGGAAAGAACAAAGCCATCTGTAGCAAATTACTTGACTGATTTCTCAGTGTCCCTTATTTTATTGGTTTAAATTCCTTCTTTCCTGAGCCAGGGATGTAGCTCAGTGGTGTTTCGCCTGCCTGGCAAGCGCAAGGTCCTGAGCTCGATCCCTGATACTGGAAAAAAAAAATTCCTTCTTTCTTTCCTTCCCTCCTTTCTTCCTGTCTTTTTCCTTCCCTCTTTGCCTCCCACCCTCCCTTTCTTTGGTGGTGCTGGGGATCTAATCCAGCCAGGACTTCCTGTAAGCCAACTGCCACTGAGCTACACCCAAATCCTATATGGCTTAAATTGCTTGTTTGCTTGCTTTCTCTCGCACGCAAGCTTTTTTTTTTCCTTGGTGGCACTGGGGTTTGAACACAGGGCCTTTGCACTGAGCAATATCCCCATCCCTTTTTTTATTTTTTATTCTGAATAAGGGTCACACTAAATCACTATGTTGCCCAGCTGGGCCCAAATTTAGGATCAGCCTCCAGAGTGCCGGGATTACAGGTGTGTACCACTGTGCCTTTCCTGGGTTAAATTTCTAATGCTCATTTATTTTTGTTTCATAAGTGGGAGTGATACAAGAAAGTGACAGCCAGGAAAGGCCAAGCTGTTCCCCAAGTGCATATCCGAGCACACATCTTACTGCTAAGAGCCCCGAGCCTGCTCTGAGTGTGTGTGTGTGTGTGTGTGTGTGTGCGTGCGCGCGCTACAAATGCGGACTTGAGGTCACAATTCGGGAGGCCACTTGGAGTTGTGATATTGAGTCAGCTTTTTCTTGGCACAGTTCTGATAAGGGTTCTTGCTCTTCTTGAGGAATTCTCCAGCCTCTCATATTGTTTCATGTGGTTGGTGAGGCTTCCTTTGCCCGTGCTTCTCCGGATCTGCTTTGTTCTTCAGCAGTTTTGATGAAGATCCTACTGGTCTAAGTTTAGAACCCTTGATGCAAAGCCACAGAGGGCCTCGTAGCCTTTGTGGGATTCAGGCCCTTTTGCTACATTTGGTCTCTTGTCTGTGAAGCAGATCAGAGATGCTCAGCTCACTGCAGGGAGCAGTGCACAGCTACCTGGATGATCGTTCATGCAAGGAAGAAAGATCTCTTTGTTTAGCTCCTTATATTTAGGACCAGTGAGTTCACACCAAACAGCCCTTCTGTTCTGTCTGTAGATGGGGTAGCAAAGAAAAGAAACCTTTAGCTAAAGGAAACCAAGATTGAATTAGGGGAAATAGATGTTCTTTTTGAACTGTCAAATTATCAAAGCAGAATTTCCTCCTGGCCTCCTTATACAATGGTCATTCTTCTAAAACATTACTTTAAAGTCCTCATAAATTAGCCATTTTCAGTTTGTTCCAGAATAAGCCAGTACATAGGGACCACTCTGCTTGGTATTTCCAGCTTTTTAGTTGTGGATCCCTTGAGTTCTCAGTTATTAATTCAATAATAGAGGAACACTGTCAAGCTGTTAGTACCTGAAACTCATTTAGTGGTAAAACACAGTATTTTTCCAGCTGGTAGCACATTTCACCATTCCGCATACTCACTAGTTCTGTGTTTATATATGGAAGTATACTTCACCTTCACTCCCCTTCTAGCATCTACATCTACCACCCCATTTGTATTTCTTCTTACAGATTTCATGAAACGATTGTCAACCTCACAGTTACTCAGTCTGCAGAGTGTGTGTGTGTGTGTGTGTGTGTGTGTGTGTGTGTGTGTGCAGGTGCACATGTTTCCTGTGAGCACCCATTAGAAAAAGAATAAAAAGCAGCAGAGGTGATCACACTTGCTGAATTTGAGGTGGGGCTCCTAGGGGCTCAGTGATAGTCATGCAGCTGCAGGTGTTTTGCCCTTATCCGTAGATTGTTTATCCCATCACGTGCTTTCTGGCCATTTAGACAAACGTGCACATCCTCAGCATCTAGACTGCCACACAGCTGACGTGGGTTATTGGTTCATGGTGCTGTCTGGTGGGGTATATTTCAGGGAACTGAGGGACATTCATATTTCCAGGCAAGGTCAATGACTTGCAAAGACACGTACTTTTAAAATATTTTAAAACTCTAGTTATATTAATGAAGTTTTCTCTTTATAACCCTCAATTAATAACAGAACTGGGTGTGATGGTGCACACCTGTAATCCCAACTGCTTGGGAGGCTGAGGCTGGGGGATCACAAATTTGAGGCCAGTCTGGGCATCTTAGCAAGATCCTGTCTAAGGAAGGAAAGGAGGGAAGGGAGAAAGGAGGGAGATAGAAGGCAGGCAGGAAGGAAGTGGGTAAGGGAGGAAAAAAGAGAGGTTAGGGAGGGAGGAAAGGAGGGGCTGGGTATGTAGATTGGTGGTGCAAGGCCCTGGTTTCATTCCCAGTACCACAGAGAGAGAGTTACTGGTGGGAACTGCGGAGGTTCTGTGGTACTGTGGGATTGAACCCAGTGAGCAGTGATCTATGCCCCAACCCTTTTTAACTTTTCTATTTTGAGATAGGGTCTCACTAAGTTGCCCAAGTGGATCTTGAACTTGGAATCTTCCTGCCCCAGCTTCGTGAGTAGCTGGGATTGCAGGCATGTGCCCCCATGCCCAGCAGTGACTGGTTTTTAATACCATATAGATACCGATTTAAATTTTTTTCAGCAGTTAATGCTTTTCACAACTCAAACTTATTATGAAGGATCTTTTTTTTTTTTTTGAAGGATCTTAATATGGAAAAACTGCATGTAAATTTTAATTCCTCAAATTTCCTAAACATTGTTTCTTGCTAGAAAACTAGCTTCTCTCAATTTTTGTCTAGTTATTGATATTTCTTATGATGCCTTACAAGACAAATATTATATGTTGCTTTTAGTGAGATTAAAAGGTAAGTGTTGATAGGTAAGAAGTAGAAAAGAAGGCAGGAGGAAGTCTCAGGGCAAGATGGTAATGTTGGGAGAAGGGGTGCATAAGATGAGGCCCACGGTG